TGCTCAGCCACCTTGTGCTTCCATCCGAGCCTGAAGCCCGCAGATTTAGAAACTACTTGAAAAAACATTTTTCCACAAGTGAATAGAAGTGCTTCTCTTTCATCTACAAGACCTTCATTCCTCTGACCATCCTCCAATCTCTAGTAGCTCTTAAATCACTTCTCCTGATGTCGACGGAGGGGTTTCTATGTGGAGGTGTTAAAAATTAGTTTTCTTCTTTGTTTTAATCTAAATGCCACAAAACTTTCGTGAAATCACATCATGATCCACATTAGAAAAAAAGTAACGGAACAAAGTCAACACAAGTGACACGAAAGCAATTGAAAATCTGTCATCACAGCAGCAAAGCAGTCACGCAGAATATTGTATTTTTACATGGATAGACTGAGCCAGAACGTGTAAAAATCTGTCCACTGCATCACTTCTCTTTGCTGACGCGGAAAAATAAATGATACACAGCTGGATGTTCTTGTCCTTGTTGACGGTACATTTGTGAGGTGTTGTCCCCTATTGTTATATATAATATCTGCCAGCTTCAGCCAACTGCAACAAATCTTGTGCGTCAACAGAAACATTATTTTTTTTTATTTTGCATGAAAGCTTTTATATAAGGCTCAGGGCAGGAATATTGGTAACGGCTGCAGCAGAGGGAAATGGACTATATTACACATAACATCACACAAAATCAATACAACATAGGAAACATATTTGCTTGAATAACCTACTTGGACCTTCAACCCTCTGGTCCAGTGCACGTTGCAGCAAAATGGCAAAAATATGTATTTTCTAGTATTTTTTAAGCCCAAACACCACCTGAATATAATGAAGCACAAAAATATTCCATCATGCTTCTTGTGCAATTTTCATATCGTTGATACTTTTGCTCATTCCTGTGAGGCCGAGGATTAATTTCTCCTTCAAAAAGCATGGGTTCCATCTGTTTTGACTAAAGACCAATATGGTTGATAAATGGACAGGTCCTTTGCTTCAGTATAGAAACAATAAATGGATGTCTTCGGCTTCATTCAGCTCCTATGATGCTTATTAAGACGGCTCCATCTGAGCTCTCACTACTTAGCTATGATGCACACGCCCGTTTCCAACCAAGAAATTTAAAAAAAAGAAATTGGAGCCCTCCAGGAAGACAATTAGAGTTGTCTCTCTCCCGGCATGCAGCGTTGCCGTGACACCAAGCGACAAGCACATTGCTATGCATAATGCAGCCCATAAAACTAAAACCCTACGTGGGTCCATGGAGGCTCTTCAGCAGGCTCACGCTGCGTGTCACACCATGCAGCCCAACTCCTGAATTTCTAACGAACCGAGCTAATCAAATCAGATGAGTGCTCTCGTAATCCACTGTATACAACCTGGCTAGAAATAGAGGGTGGTCACCAAAACTGTCAGTAAAGTGGTTTAGACAGCGACTATGCTGCTGCACTGTGGTGATGTGTGTTTGTGCCAGAGAGAGCGCAAAAAAGAGACATCATGAAAGCCCTACTGGGGATGACAGAGTGGAAATGGATAACATCAAGGAAACAAATTGGAGACACATCAGTGCAGAGGAGAGAGAGAGTGTGTGGGGAAACCAGAGAGCGACAGAGAGATAAACAGAGAAAGACAGATGAAATAAGTGAGAGCACATGCAAAAATAAAAAATATGTGTTACTTCTCACTAGCTTGTTACAGCCAACAACTTGCCCTTTGCCCCCGAGGGACAACTGGCTTCTCACACACGTCCATAAATATCTCTGCAGGGGTGTGTGTACTGCGCCGCTGCAGCATCCTCTGGGACATGAGGCTTTGAGAGGGGGTGAGGAGGGTGGTTGTTATTGGGTCTGTACAAATTTGTGGACTCAGATATGAATGGACGCAACAGAGATGCATCGCTCTATTGTTCGTGTGAGATTGATAAATACTGATACAGCAGATAGAGGCAAAGTCTTTAGATTTAATTTAAAGGACATTTTGAGTCTCATTTCATTGAGTTTAGACTTCAAAACATTTCCAAAATGCTTATAACCAGATTCCTATAAGAAAATATAGAAGGGGTCATATATTAAAAGCAGAGGGAGATCACAGGCTGTGCACCCATATGCTTTCCAAGCATCGCTGCTGCTGTCTGACAGCACTTTTGTGAGCCTCTGCATAACAACATGACAGATAAGACAACCCCCCCCCCCCGACCTCAGCAACCTTTGGTTTGACATGTGAACAGAGCTGCTGTTTTCTATTCTCATCGCCTTGCTCATATTTTTATTATTCTGGAGAATGAAGCAGTGCACTTGGATTTTTACCTCCACCAAGGTTGTCATGTTTTCACCCTGTCCGTCAGTTTGTTTGTTTGTTTCCAAGCAAATTACAAAAAAAACAACCAAATGGATTTCCATGAAACCTGGTGGAAAGATGTGGTATGGGTCAGGGAAGACCTCATTACATTTATGTGTGGATCCAGATCAGGGAGTAGATCCAGGATTTTTTCTCCATTGTCATTGTGAGATATGTTGTTTTTCAGTTTTCACAGTTTTACCACGGAATAATTCATTGATGTGGATTTTAAATACTCAGGCATGTTTAGAGAACTGATGAGGTATGTGCTCTATATGTGCTGTTCTAGTTTATAATGTGGTAAAACAGCTGTGACTCTGTATTGATGAGGGCACTTAAATTGTATTTGTTGAAGTGATTGATAAAACATTATATGTGGTATAATATATGTATTCATATGAATATATTTCATATGTGTATTACTACCCGGTCTTGTGGATTAATACAAGGAATATTTTCTAGATGAAAAATACTTCATGTAATTACCTGCCAACTTGTGTCTTGACTGCATAAAGTCACCCCACTGTGCACTAATCCACAGGGCACTCAGCTGTGCAAGTTACCATAAAGATGTGAATAGTAACAGGGGCTCCACTGATTTCCCTGACTGAACTCCTCTTCAGTTAATCATCAGCACAATGTATGTCATCTCCAGCACAAGGTTTCAAAGGGTGTGGGTGTATGTGTGCACACACTTGTGTGTGTACAAACACAATCTACCCATAGGAATGTCACAGCTGGGACAAAAATGTAGGTCCCCACAGATACAGACTTCTGAAGGGGCGCATTCCCTCTGTGGAGACATAAGTTTGTGTCTGTGTCTGTGTGAGTGTGTGTTGAAGAGAGAGACAGTTAATTACCTGTAACTCAGAGTATGATTCATGTGCTTGTGGGTAAGTGGAGAGGACGCTTGCTGTGTGATAAGAGAGGAATGTGCAGTAGTCCCAGGTATAATCCTGAAAAGTGAGCAGTGTGCTAAGGGGAGAGGGGGAGGGGGCTACAGTGGATCGCTGTCACCATAGCAACGACCCCATTTTTTTAGTATCCCAACACACACACACACACACACACACACACACACACACACACACACCCTTTCTTAAATCAATCCATCAGCTAAAACGTTACAATCAGATAAACACAATTTCATTATCACTGTTTGTTTATTTTTTTGGTAGTAGAAGGAAAACGTATATGTATGTGGGATATAATGAATACTTCTTTATGTCACTTTATGGGGGGGAAATGTTTTGCTTTATGACTGAAAGTACATTTTTATTTTTACAATGACAAAATAAAATAAAAATGAAGATGAAATGTGTCGATTTTCTGATTCTGTTGGAAAATAAGTCTTGATACAATCAATCATAAAATAGGCTCTTTACGTTTAAAAATGCTCCACAGACTAATGTTCCTTTGCTCTAAGATCTAATTGTCATAACATAACTGTTTCCTCTGTCTTAGCGCCATCTAGTGGAAAGTAGTGAACAATTCAGTTTCTGTGAGATGCAGGGCGTTGTCATTTCTTGATTTTGGCTTTTTGTATTTTAAGATTTAAAAAACAAACAAACAATTAAATGTCTTTAATAACAACAGGCTGGTAACTGGCTACCTACATTTAAATTAATATCCGGATTTGTTTATGCTCCTGAATAAATTTTACTCAGGAGTTCCTCAATTCAGTGTCTGAGTGTAGATAGGTGCTATTGACTGTGCTGCTTTTTTCGTGCTTGTGTTTTATTTTATTTCCGTTCATGCAGAATTGCATTCTACTGTTGTTTAAGGATATAATTTTTTTGTCTGTAAAGCCTGTTAGATAAAACATTTATTAAATTAAAGCAAAACAATGTTTAAATACATGAAAGATATATTCTATCAGGGAAAAAATGTGTAAATGTAGGAATGATATAATCTTGTGATGAGAGATAAAGATTAGTAGATTATCACATACAATGTTTAATCTATTTTCTTCTGACTTGGGAGTGTTTTTTTATATAATAAAATAATAATACTTTATTTATATAGCACTTTAAAAGATTACATACACAAAGACATAAGAAATCTAGATAAGAGCCATCTTATAAAAATGAGTCTTAAATGAAATTTAAAGGAGGACAAAGAGGTAGCTGGTCTCATTCTCAGTGGAAGGTTATTCCATAGTCGTGAAGCCCTCAGAGCTCTACCACCCTCAATTTCACACCTTACACTGGGAACTAAAAGCAACGGTTGATCTGTGCAATGCTGCTGACAGATTTAAAAACCAGCAATACAATTTTTGAATTCAATTCTGAGCTTGACAGGTAGCCAGTGCAATGTGGCGAGAATGGGGGTGATGTGTTCATACTTTTGAGTTTTTGCAAGAACTCTGGCTGCAGTATTTTTGAATAAGTTGGAGTTGGTTGATAGATTTCTGGAAAAGTTCTGCAAATAATGAGTTACAATCATCTAGATGACTGAATTTGTGCATCACTGAATGGGAGAAATGATCTAATTTTGGCAATACTCCCAATTTGACCAAAAGCTGATTTGATGATATTGCTAAACTGTAGGACTTTTGCAGGAGGATATTATTTACATATAAAAACAGTTCAGCTCTTATTGCCACCGACTCAGCGGGAGATTTGTAGTACACGCAATGAACTACAGGTGGCGGTGTGATGCCACAACCACGTTGAGACCGAGGAAGAAGAAGACAACGCTGAACCAAATTGTAAACACAAATGGCGGAGCGTGTGCGTGTCAGCTGCTCCGCCCGCCAAAACACAGAAGAGGACGTGTTGAACACATAACGACTGAGGAGCTGTGTGTGTGTGTGTTGCTGCAGGTTAGAGAGAGGATATCTCAATGCTAGCTAAAGTTAGCTTCCACTCAGACACAGCCCGAGCAGCTCAGTTAGTGAGAGGCTGGAAAACAAATAGAAAACTTGAAACGTACGTTCAGCCATCGCTGGGCTTTGGGTTTTCCAGTGCAACCACAGACCATGGCCGTCAATGGGAAAGTCATCCCGCACACGCCGCTGGCCGTCGACTTCTGGCAGGTGCGGAAGTGTCCGGGCGCTCGGCTGTTTTTCTTGACCCACATGCACAGCGACCACACGGTGGGTTTGACCTCGACCTGGAGCAACAGGCCCATCTACTGCTCCCCCACCACCGCCACGCTGCTCAGACTCAAGCTGCAGGTGAGGAGGGTCACATGATCTCTACCATTCCACAGGTCACTTCTCTGCCTCATCCAGGGCCGTGTACTGAGGGATGCGAGCGATGAAGGGACACAACAGAGACTGATCCCACGTGTTCTGTTGCATCCACATCTGGTCGAAAGTTTTCTACACATCTGTAAAGTAAAGCTCTGGTATTTTGCTGATTGGTTGGACTGCTTTTGTATCCACGAGAGATGTTTTACATATAAACTTGCTTACTTACTTAACTTGAGTGTGTGACTGGGTCTACAAAGCCACTGTGGTTTCTAAGTTTAGACAATCAGATCAGCATTGACCAAATCATTTTCAAAACACGTCACATTCAACAGTCCTCTCATGAACATGTTTGTTACTATGACACACATTACAAACTCGTGTTTTAGTTTGACGTGACATAACCAGTAAGGTACTGTAGATTCCAAATGTTGTCGGGATGAATAAATGGGAATGATGCAGGTTTGATGAACAGTAGCAGCCATTTAAAGAGCATCATAGATTTGATGTGTGTGTCATTTACAGATGGATGACAAACAATAGGGAAAAAAATTTAATTAAGAGATAACATGTGTGGCCTGACCACAGAGAGTGGCCAAAACTGATTTGTTTTTTTCATCCGGTGTTTTGATGGTGGTAGAGAGTGCTTATATCTTTCATAGGAGTTGAAATGGGCACAAATCTAAAAACCGAGGATCACATTATATAAACACACACCCTCTTTCATACTTGTATAAAAATATCCGCAATCGTTTATTCAAGGTTTTCCTTTAATGTATCACTTACGTGTTGCTTCACTGAGGAGTTACAAAAAGCAGATAACTTTATATCATGTGCATAATGTTGGGGAATTTAATTATTTGAACACTTTTGGGTAACAATGGCTGAGAGTGCATTCATTCACAGTAACCTGCTGCTGATCATTTCTGTTTCTGCTCAGGTAAAGGAACAGTGGATCCATCCATTAGAGCTGGGTGACCCATACATGCTGCCGCTGGATGACATTGGCAAGGAGAGGCTGACAGTCACCCTGATAGATGCCAACCATTGTCCAGGGGCTGTGATGTTTCTCTTCGAAGGCTATTTTGGTTCTATACTGTACACTGGTCAGTCTCTGAAGGCACTGGAAATTTTGTATCTGCTTTTGTAGGATGTAGGAAATATTTCTTAGGTTTTGTGTTTTTTTTCCCTCTTTCTTTCCTTTCTAAGATCAAATTTAGTTTCAAATGATGAACACATATTCACAGGTTTTATATTGAGTGGAGTATCACAGGAATTAATTGTCTCCCTCTTTATTTCAGGTGACTTCAGATATACTCCCTCAATGCTACGTGAGCCATGTCTAAGGACAAACACCACGATTGATGTCCTGTACCTGGACAACACCAACTGTGACCCCAACCGCACCCTCCCCTCCAGAAAGCAAGCCACTCAACAAATCAAAGAGATCATCCGCAGCCACCCTAATCACAGTGTTGTCATAGGTAATTTTGTGTAGAGCTCTTCTTTGGCACTGTTAGGTTTTCAGACATGTATAAAAGAGTTATTTTATCAAGGCTCACGAAACGAAAATTATAACTGTAAAAGTCAGATAAATAATTCCAGCCTAATATAATATGAGACTTTAAAAGGATTTTAAAAATATGCTGTTAATTATCATGTTATCCAATGTGCCATTGTTATTTTTCTGACTTTGTGATGCATCACAGGTTTGTATGCACTGGGGAAGGAGTCCCTGCTGCTGGACCTGGCAATGGAGTTTAAAACCTGGATTGAGGTGAGTTATGAGAGGATGGAGACCCTCAAAGCTCTGGAGCTGCCTGACGTTTTCACCACTGACCCCGGAGCCGGTCGTATCCGAGCCGTATATCAGTCAGAGATCTGTTTTGCCACTTTGCACCAGTGGAACAAAGAACAACCCACGTTGGCCATCTTGCCCACCAGCAGGCCCCTGGTCTCCTTCCAACCCAATGTCCATGTGGTGCCTTACTCCGACCACTCTTCTTATCAAGAGCTGGAGGATTTTGTCTCTGCGCTTAAACCTACCTCCCTTGTACCCATTGTAGGAACGCGCGCACCTGGAAGTCTCTCTGCCTTACTGCCCAGCAAAAAGCGTCCTGAAATCCTTGTGCCAGAGTCAGTCCAACAGTACATGCTGAGACAGCCTGAGATCCAGGTCAGCTCATCAGTATTTACTCGCCCTCACAGCAGACACCTCAGACCGGTTGCTCCCAAGGGTGTGATATTTGAGTCTCCTCTGAAGGGGTCCATGATGTCATGTGAAGATATCTGTGGACCAGAGTCTCTGCAGCAGGATGCTTCTGAGGATGAGATGGACACAGAAAGTAATGAAAGGGAATCTGACTGTATTGTTATTGACACTAGCAAGAAACTCACCCCGAACAAAAACAGAGGAGAAGCTGGAGACACGTGGAGCCTCAACATCGTCCAGACAGTCTCAGAAGAAATGTTGATGGCAGACTCACTACCACTCAGTCAACTTACCCAGAGTAACTTTGCTCCAGTGGAGATTCTGACAAACACTTCGGCCTGCTTGAAGCCTGTCAGGCCCACGAGAAGGCCTTTCGAAACTAATGCCAAAATAAACAACACAGCATCAAGTGGAAATTACAACAGTCAACAAAGGGGACACAGAAATGTTGAGAACAACCACAAACCGTCAGACGAGGGCGGTATGAGTCAGCACAGTGGATGTGGGAGTGATCAGGACAGCGTGACATTATTTCAGAACAGCTCCAGTAACATTTCCTGTACTTCCTGTCACTCCTCGGCTGAGCTGAAGGAGCATTACTTAGAGGAGTTTGAAAACAGAATTTTAAAGAGTCTCCCCTTTATGGAAGATGATTTTAAGACATGGGGCCTCCTGCAGCACAGCGTTGTGCAAGGTTTCCCCTCCCCACTATGTGATGCATAATGACATCTCAGTAAATAACGTAACCTGAGGTTTTAGCCTTGTTTTCTCTGTGTTAACATAAATTCTTTAAAGCTGACTATATTCTATCCTACTTCATATCATTTTCCTTGTGGTGCCTCCTTATTTGTGGGTGGTCTGGAGTTAAGGTTGGTGTCTGTGATAGATATTTTTAAATGTTGACTAACCTCTTTTTATCATCCCACTGGCAAATAATGCAGAGGGATCAAGTTATCAGTATATCATTGCATAATTTTGTTTGTGGAGCAGAACTGAGAAATCATTTGGAATTTAGTTAATGCAATTTGGTGGTGCCTTTTGATATTTGGGGTGTGACAGGGGTTATGTCAACTCTTGATGATACTTTTTTTTTTTTACCCGCCTTGAGAACCAGCTGACTTGAAATACAGTTACATGTTCTGGCCTTTATTGATTAACAGTTATGTTAAAGAGCTGTGAGTTATGAACCAAAATCTGCATTTAGCCTAAAAGCTCAAAGTGATAACATGTTTTTGCCATATTTCCAGATCAGCCTTTTTTTTACTTACACTTAAAGGTTCAGTGTGTAGAATTTAGTCACCCTCCCCTTCCAAACATAAAGGAGAACCTGTGGTAGACTTCAGTTGTCATAAAAACTCAAAAGGTGTTTAGTTTGTCCAGTTTGGACTACTGTAAAAAACAGGGCGGCCTCCGTAGAGAGGACCCGCCCCTGATGTAAATATGAAGTATTCAAATATAAAGGTCCCATTCTAGGGTAAAGAAAACAACAACTCATACAATTTAAATGAAACTTATTAGTGAAAACATCACTAGGATTATTTTATATTTAATTTCAGCTAATAGATCCCTTTCACCTAAATCTTACACACTGAACCTTTCATTTTTTTCTGCATATGAGTGATTATGCTTCCATACTGGGAAAAATAAAAATGTTTGATTTAACAGCACTGTTCTTAATGAATTAGTCCACCAATAATGACAAACCATTTGTTCAAGTCTAATTTCATTATCTTGAGAGACTGTCAGAAAATTATGTAGAGATGTATATTTGAAACCATTCTTTTATTCTCTTGTGCTTTCACAAGGTCTAATGAAGAAAGCAGAGAGAGAGAGAAATAAATCCATAGTGTTTTTGCTCTGTATTATTTTTTGTACGTGTTTGATTAGAGGTTACAGCAGCTGCCTCACAGCTCTATGGATGTTTTTGTTATGTAAAACATGTTGCTGTAATATGTATGTTGAATAATAAATGCAAATTGTTTCTTCATTAAATTACAGAATTACATTACATTTCATTTAGCTGATGCTTTTATCCAAAGTGACTTACAATAAGTGACACAACCATGAGGGAACAAACCCAGAACAACAAGAATCAAATAAGTGCAATTTGCTTCAAAAAAGCCAAACTACAAAGTGCTTCAATATAAGTGCAATAAAATATATAAATTTATATATTTTTTTGTTATTGGACGTCATCTTCTTCACCATGGTGTAGTCGGAAGAGATGTGTCTTTAGTCTGTGGTGGAAGATGTGAAGACCTTCTGCTGTCCTGGTGTCAATGGGGAGCTTGTTCCACCATTAAGGAGCCAGGAAAGCAAACAGTCGAATATTCGTAGAATAACCTGCTTTACTGTTCAGATGATCTCATGGTATTGAAAGAGCGACTCACGCTGCAGGACAGAGACGTGACGGAGAACAAGATTTCTGTTGTTGCAGTGTTGTTTTCCACAAGATGGCAGTAGTTTGTTACACATGTCACCTTGTACTTAAAGTCTTGCTTCTCATTAAATGAGGGTTTCAGGTTTCTGCAGCATGTCTGATTTTTGTCAGAAAAAACCCCCAATGACTCAGCACTCAACTAAACACCATGAAGCATGACCTGTACTTCTAAAACCCTTGTCAGTGTCCTCACAGCTTTAACAACCTTGTTATGTCTGAATAGGAAACTCATTTACTGGGCTACAACAACATCTCCTCTTCACCACCTCCCCTAAACAGCCTTCACCTAGAGCAGTGTAATAGCTGTAGACAGCATGGTCTTATAAAGTCATCTTAAGTTGGCTCTGATCCTAGCACGTCCCATTAGACTGCACTTTGAAAAAGTGCCTTATAAAAAGTTTTCTCTGTGTGAGGTTGAGAAACATCAGCAGAGTCATGCTGAGACATCGTATAGTCTCCGTCAGTGGGTTGTCAGATTGACACGAGCTGCCAACAGGAGTCTTTGCTTGTGCTCACAAAGGATGAATGATCGGCTGCTGCATGTGGGAGGAGGGACATCTGGGATTAGCAATCAGCTACAGGCCCAGAGTGGACTGTGTGCAGCCAATACTGATGAAGACCAGTGGAGCAAGCACAACCAAATACTTCAGAACAATAAGGCAGTAAATGTTGCCTGTGGCTGTGATGCTATTAATTGTTGCATAATTAGATCATTATTACTGCTGTATTGATGTGTAAGTAACATTTTACTATTGGAGACATTAAAGATGGACCTCGTTTATAACTAAAGGGCAGCCCCTTCTCAATAAATCCATCTATTGTTTGTAGGCACCTTTACCATGTTTCTTTTGTCCACCCATTAGTCCAAACCTGATGACATAAAGAAGAATTTAATTATTATTGTGTAAATAATCCTCACATTTTAGAAGATTCATGAATAATAAATGATCTACAGAATTATCAAAGTAGTTGCTGGTTCATTTTCTCATTCAGTCAAACAACTAATTGCTTTGGTTCTATTGTCCTGTTGTATTGTTGTTGGATCTACAGCGAATTGTGCTATTTAATAAACTTTATATAGTATGAGTCAGTTTGGTGTGTATCCAGATCAGGGGACGGATCAAGGAATGTTTTCTGTCTTTCACATTGAGAGAGAGGGAGTTTTTCTTGATTTCTCAGAGAATATATTTTGCATCTTAATGTAAAGGGAACTGATATGTATGACTATGTGTAATATGCTGTAGATCCAAATAAGAACCAAGATGTAGTGAATTTAAATGTGGTTTCATTAGGGGTCTTGGACTGAGTGACCCTGAGAGTCATTCTCGTTTTTTTGCAAATAGCTGCAAAATGGAAAAGTCAACATAATGGAGTTAAAAGTTCATTTATAAGTAGTTTGTGGTCTAAAAGAATAAAGAAAAATTATTCAAGTCAAGTACAAATAACTTTCTTTCACAGTTGCAAGGCCATCACTCCCATTGTAACCTCAATAGCCTAGAATGTCACTCACCCACTCCACTGCCACTTTTCTATAATACCCTCAGGATCAGGTGCAGGTTCAGGAGGTGCAACAGGGCACAGTACCTGCAGCCATTACAGCTCTTAAAAAGATATCCCTCCACAAACCCATTTGTTGTCTCAAGGCCATTTGCAGTCTATAAATGTTAATGAAATGCCCATGTTAGTCTGTTATGCATTTATATTCTTGTTGTTGAATGATGTGTACTGTAGTGTTGTTTTAGTATTTGTCTCATGTGATGCAATTTGTGAAGATGAATGCACAGTAACTAAGTACCATTGGAAACTGAGTAAGCAGTATATGCTCATTGTGGTTACATTCCACCACTGATAATAACGCTGCCGCAGGGTTCAAGTTTAGGCCTGTGAGATGCTCCTCCTTATACATGACCAGGACGTAACCTGCTCTGCAGTGTCTCCAGATAATCAGTTTCGCGTTGATGGATTGTTTTGCTTTGCCGATTCAGCGGCTTAGATTGTAGTCGGTCGTAATCTTTCTTGAAAGCACTGAGGGACGAACTCTTGTAGTACTGAGCCTAGCTGAATTGTAATCGAGAGAAGACAACACCCGAGACTGGATTTGCATTAAGATTCCTGCATATTTTACACAAGCCTGCATATTTTTCCCCTCTGCATCCCAGCTCCGAATGCTATTTTAAGGCAGTGCACTTGCATTGCAAAAGCAGGGATGAAAAAAACAATGATAATCTGGGAGGAAAGAATGCATTTTCCTTTTTTTCCCTTTGTTACACATGGATTGAATACAAAGCCCTCGGAGTGAGACTGGGAAATTAAAGGAAATGGAGTGTCACATACCCCTACAAGCTTCACAGCAGGGTATAAGGGCTGAGGTAATGGATTCCTCACACACACCATTACTTCAAAGTGGAAATCATGAGGATGCTTCTACCTGCAAGACCAAGCCCTGTTACCTACACTAAAACTACTTATAGAAAACTTTCCCTTCAATTTCTAGTAGGAATGTTGATCTGACTAATGCAGACATAAATAATCTCATCACACAGATATAATTTTACACATACAAAGATTAGCTGGGCAAAGTGTAAGCCAACAAAATGCCCCCAGACGGCTCCTGTGTGTCTTTGGATATTTGTCTTTTCTGCATGTGCTGTAAAAAAGACGAGAGACATCCAGCTGTGTAATTTATAGCTCCATCGCAGCACAAGCTCTCAATAAATTCTTCAACTGTTGCTGGAGACAAAAACCAAATTCAGTTTCCCTCGAGACACACAAATAAAAAAGTTAATACACATGACAGGCTGGCACACCAAAGTTCTGTTCTGAGTATCAGAGCACTAAATCACATGGAGTCCCACATTGTTATTGGAGACTGGAGATTTTTTATAGCAGATTCGCTGCTGCTGTAGCAGAGACAAGCTCCTTGTATCTATAAACAGAGCAACAGCAGGATTTGTTCATATATTTGTGGTTTGAATCAAGATGTTAAAATGACTGTATTGTTGTTGATTCTGTATTGTGTATATAAATAACTCATTGTTTTAAGAAATATACTAATATAAATCAAGATATGCAGTGGTTAGCACTGTTGCCTGGTTTGAGTCCCAGTTCTTCCCGTGTGGAGTTTGCATGTTCTCCCTGTGTTAGTGTGGGTTTTCTCTGGGTAATCTGATTCCCTCCCACAGTCCAAAAACATGGAGATTGGAGTTAGGCCCATTGAAGACACTAGACTGATTGTAGGTGCGAATGGTTATTTGTTGGCCCTGTGAGACACTGGCGACCTGTCCAGGGTGTATGCTCCACCTCCATACAATGTCAGAGGGATTGACTCCAGCTAATCCCTGCAATCCTCAAAGGATTTAGCTATAGATAATAGATGGATGGATGTTTTTGTTGCTTTTATGTCACTGAGTCATTTAAGCTGTGACCTGACTTGAAATGCTCGTGAATAAAAACAGCTGTCTGTCCTTGTCTTCATGTTTCTTTGTGAGAATAACCTCATTCTGATAGTCTGCACTTTAACCTCACAGACCATTCAATTAAAATGTTTTTGTCTGACGTACCCTTTCAACACGTCTAGACAAACTCAAATACCTCACCACTGATAGATGCATGGCCTTCAAGGAATCTGTCAATAGTATTTCACCACAGACCACACACAGCTTTTGCCATTGGGTGTTTCAAACATGTATTACTTTGAGCCATCCATGTTGACTGACCCAAGTCTGACTCATGGTCATGGTGGAAGAGAAAGATATCTTTGTGTCAACTCGCTGGAAGGTTGTTGCTTATTGTGATAAGAATGAATAATTTCACTTTTACATATACGTATAGACAGAAAATGTGCAATAAAAATATGTGAAACATATACTATAGAATATATTTCACA